AAATCTTATTTGAAATTCTTGCTTCAAGCAAAACATTTTGTCCCTAAATGTGTCTTTTTATTGTTATTATTCTCCTTGTTATGATTTATTTTTTAACAGGAAATACTAAAAGTTATTAACAATGGGATCCTATGAAGCACGGATACTTCAAAAAGGGTGACGTATCCGTATCGGATACTTATCGGATACCGATACTCCTCGGATACTTGCGGATACGTATCGGATACTTCTTAATTAATTTTTTATTAATTTTGAAGTATCGGATACTCGAAATTATATATTACTTATAATATTTTATTTAGTTCTTTGATAAGAGGAATTTAGTGAGAGTTAAAGTAATAGAATTTGTCAAATTGATGTATCCTTGTTGTCTCTCTCACTTCTCTCTCGCTTTTTCACTCTCTCACGTTTCTTCTCTCTGCTCTCATTCTTTTTTTGGTGTTGGCATGTAAGGATGATGTTTAATTTGCATTTGCATTTGCTTTTGCTTTTAGTTTTGGATGTTTTATGAATGTTTGAGCACTTTTAGGTTAATAGGAATCCCTCTCCTTATTTATTAATTTACTTTAAGTTTTATTTTCATGCATATTACATTATTAAAATTATATTTTAAAAAAAAATTATGAATGTATCCCCGCTGTACCCGTATCGTACTTTTTCAAATTTTGACATATCGCCATATCCACATCCCCATATCACCATATTCGTATCCGTGCTTCCTAGGCTATCATTGATGACTTAAAAAGGTATATTTGCTGAAATTTTTATTTAAGAATGGTTTTTTGGCTTTAGCTAAGGTCTTGTGATATTTAATGATGAAGGGGAACAAGTTGAAGCTATTGACCTTGAAGACTCTTAATTTTATAGGAATCTTTCTTCTTTATCAAGTTGTCTTTTGCTTTAGGTTTTATTTTTATGCATACTGCATTACTAAAAATTGTTAAAATAATATTTTTTACGAACGTATCCCCGCCGTACCCGTATCTTAGTTTTTCAAATTTTGTCGTATCGCCGTATCCGTATCGTATCGTATCCGTATCCCGTATCCGTATCCGTGCTTCCTAGATATCACACAATGACTGATGAAAGCAGAAAATTGAATAATTATATTGATTTATTATGTAGGCAAAGCAAAGTCACATTCCTTTAATGTTAATCCCTACTATTTATGCTTAATTGTGTTCTAGAGTTTAATTTACATTATCAGGATTAATTAAAGTGGAGTTCATGAGAAAAAGGTGGGCCTGACTCTTGGAAACACAATTTGCCTGGCTTAGATGAAAACTAAGCCAAGTGAAGAGAGGATATCATTTCAATGTGTGGGCCCAACTTTAGATACACAGTGTCAGCATGAATTAAAAGTATTCTTGGCCCAATGAGAAAAAAAAGAGGAAAAAGGCTTCAGCATTTACTCTTTTGGCAAAGGCCATGGTGGGCCAGCATCAATGGCAATAGTGTCTCCGCTGCGTGATCAACACACACATCGTAACAAAAGAGACCACATGTTGATCAGAAAAATATATATATACGGTGGCCGAGCACTCCAGCTGTGAGCCACTGGCACTTCATCACTCATGAGACCCTAAGTCATATGAATTAGTAATTTGACTCTTTAACATGCTTCGGGCCATGTTCAAAATGGTTCAGTTCATATGAAGTAGCAATTTGACTCTTTACTACATTACTCTCCATAACTTGCAACTAAACACCGTAGTAATCACCATTACATGCAAGAAAAAACTCACAAAATAATAAAAAAAAAATTTTTTTTTCAACATCCCAAACAAGTTTTGAGCGACATCGTTTCCTACAAATATGTTTCTCTAGCATCCAAGTGTTAATCCCACTCATTCTGCAAAAACAAAATGTTAATGCCAATTCCATACTATTCGCGCAAGTGGATAGTTTTTTCTAAGGTACCTTAATACCCATTATCATGAACCTACTTTTCTTGTATATCCATTAGTTAACTTGTCATAAAAAATATCCATAAATAAAATGGAAGTTGTAAGAAACTTACATTGCTTGAAAAATCAATGGGTTGCACTTGCGAAAAAATAGTCTGGAATTTGGCATAGACCTCAGCCTGTCGTTGAGGCCCCATTCTTGCTACAGCCTCTTTTGCTTCCTTTACATTTTCCTTTATCTCTTTTAAACAGAGGTCAATTTCATTTCTCCGCCTTTGAATATCAGTCTTAAGTGCCTCTATTCGTGCTTTAGAACCTTGGTCCCTATAAACCACAAAATTAAATTCACAAGTTATCAATTCATATTGATAACAATTCCATAGCCAGGTGTGAAAATCAACATGTCAATCTAACCTTCGCCAAGAAACAAATAGGAACATGGATATATAACCATACATTAGTGACTACTGTTCCATTTATCACCACATTCACTAACAGTTGTATTTACTTGTTTACTTTTTGATAAATAAAATTTTAAATTCTTGTGTTTAATTTAAGGTAATGAGAGGCATCATTAGGATTGGAGTGTGGTTTGTAGTTTATTTTGTCATAATTGTTCTTTTGCTGGTTTTTGTCTCATAGTTTAACCATTATTAGGTAGGACTTCTTATCAATCAACAATGTATGTAATTATCCTTTCATATTAATAAAATTTGTCTTCCTTCTTCTTTTTATAAGAAACAAACTTTTAGTCAATAAAGGAAAAGGTGATAAACAATTTTGTTGGACAAACCATTCAATTGTGTTACCAGAAAACACTAATACCTTAGCGAATTATGTATTGGTACACATGTTCCGAAACATGGTAGACTTCCATTCCAAAAAGATAAATTTAGTGATCCGAAATAATGGCTTCGTTTGGGAAGTTGCTATTTTAGTAGGCTATTTTAGTTTTTGGCTATTTTAGTAGGCTAAAATTTTTGTGTTTGGGAAGATGATTGGATTTTTTTGTGGTTGGATGTGATGTTTGTGAGAGAAAAAGTGAAATGATTATGGGTTTGATGTGATATTTTGTCTTATTAACTATTTTAGTCTATTTTCTCTTTTTGTGAATTTTAGCCTAAAATAGGCTATTTTTTTTCTTGCCAAACACCCCCAATGTCAAAAATTATTTCTAATATATTTCCTTAAATGTTATCTTTTATGAGAGAAAAAAATCAAATATAATGAACATAAATCTAAGGTGAGTTAAGATTTGATAAGAAAAAAAACATCAAAAAATCAAAAAATATATATATATATATATATAATTATTTATTAGATGCCTAATAGTTAAAAGAAATTTACTCTAGAAGTGCCCTTAAATTCTTAAGCGTAATATATACAAATTTATCCCTATCATTCCACATTTTAGAACATGTAGCATACCACGTTCCCGTTCCCGTTCGACGTACCGGAATGATCCACGTTCCAAGTAACATAAGTCCAATGATATAAATGAAATAAAGATAAGAAATAAATTCCACAAACAAAAATCACAAAGAAAGGATAATATCGAAATTTCTTAGTGGCCAAAGCTTGCAATGAAGCTACAAACTTAACCCTCTCCCATAAATACTGCACTTTCTCATCTTTATCTTCAAAGATTTTGTTGCTTCTCCAAATCATCCTACAAACAGCCGCAATCACACACAACCAAAGAGTACAGGGCCTTTTGCCAAAAAGAAAATAATGGAATATAATATGGCATGTATAAGAAACAAGGTACCACAAGGTAATTACATCATGTCAAAAGGTAATCTTAGCAAGTCTTACCATAATGAAAAGAGTCAAAGCCATCTCCAGATTGAATATGGATTAGATGTTACAAGTTCAGCATATAAAAACTGTAACTACATAACATCAACACAATCTATTTTCCACCATTTTTTACTAGCTAATATTTAATCACATTATCAATCACTACTACCACAAAACAGTATTGAACAATGCTAACCAGTCTTCATAGCATCCCAGAACAATTTAACATCCAAAACCAGAATATTAAGATTTGACATATAGGCAGGCAACCAAGTCTAGTGGTATATTTATACTATGAGTAAGACAAAACTGGGAAAAGTATAATTTGAAATTTGAGTTGAATCAAGCTTTTACCTGTCTGTCCTCTTCCTGCTCACTCGCCTTCTAGAAAATGCATCATTTGGTTTGTTGAGTAAGATTAGGTTCTCCTCGTAAGTATCAACAACAAAATGGTTTGAAGTAGCATAAATTCCCAAATTCTTAGTTTGTTGGCTCAAAGGGTCATATGAAGAAAGCACCCAATCACTTGGTGCTTTTGTCTCCAATAATATATGACCATTATTCCGTATACCTAATACCTGTGTAATTCCTCTGCTTAGATCAATTGTGAACTGCTTATACAAAGAATCAACTACACCGTACTTTTTCATTATCCAAATGGAACAAGACTTGTACACAGCACTATCTTCGTAACATAACAGAGAAAGCAATCCCCCAAATACTGAAGCCCGGACCTCGGTTCTCGGGCCTACAATACCATCTGGTAACATCATCGTTTGAAACACCTCATCACACAAATCAAACGACAAAATCAACGGATCATTGGATTTCTTCATTTTCGCAGCAAAATGAACAGCCCCTTCTAAATAAGCAGCGAATCGGCCTGAATAATCTATAGTAATCCCATCCGGATAAGAGTTTCTCCCCGTGCTAGACATTTTCCAGGAGCCCGCATTAAGGGAGTACACCTCAATGTGTGTAGTTGGCTTCTGATTGGGCAATTTAAGCTTAAGGTAATTCTTTTGCATAGTTATCATTTTTGGTGTAAAGGAAATTTTTTTTCCTGCATCCTCTTTTCTTCTCGTAGATTCCATAGGTGAGCTCAATTTTTGTTTTAGGGCCATTTTGATCTCTCATAGTTTTTGTGTGAAGTTGGAGATTGAACGTATTAATGAGAAAAAACTTCATGAACCTCTTTTTTATTTTTTTGATAAGTGATTTCATGAAATCAAAATCTTAGCAGATGTAGCTCATCTTCTTTCCAAAAATAGAAGTGATAATAGTCAAACAGAATGATCAAACCTTTTTTCCATTCCCTTGATGTCATAGATTACTCCTTTAATTTATTTTTTTTACATATGGCTGTTTCTTCACTGTACTGTTTATTATATGGCTGTTTCTTCACTGTCATTGCTTTCTTCCCATGCTTTCTATCTTTGGCAGTATTCGTGAGAAATAAATCTGTTCAGCGTTCACTTGGACTTGGGGAGTCCTCAATTAGGTTAGTGCTTACCTATTTGTAGAGATATTAAAGTAAATTTATGTTTTGAGTTCCCAATCATTGCCTAGGAAATTCTTATTTGGAGATATAGTGCAAGGCATTTCTTATATGTTGGTATATGGGAGGGAGAGGGAAAAAAATATTAGCTATTAACTAATTAATTAACACATTTCATGTTTGGCTTCTAAACACTAATACAAAAGTAATGGACTCTACTAATTAACATGAAATCTCATAATACAAAAAAATATTAGCTATTAACTGAAATTTGATTGAGTTTATTCACAAAGTGCAAATATATTACACAAAAGTACATAAGAACCGAATTGGATTTCAAATCATATGCTTCCAAAATGCAGACCTTGTTTGTCGACTCCCGATACTCTGTTCAAGTGGAGATATTATTATTATATGGGTGCAGAATAGCATGTGATTGTGTACCCGACCAATAGTGTTTTATGATTTATTCAAAAAAATTCTAATTTTTCAAACCATTGAAGCATATACCCTCTTATTATTTTGCGGATACACAAACCATTGTGTGTGTTGTGAATTATGTAATTATTAACATCTTTTTGAAAATTCTTTATGTACTTCGATTGTTTATTTCCTACAAATGTAATTTGTGCTTGTATATGTGTGTGGTTTTGCAGTTGATGATGGATTTTTTGGCAGTTGGAGAGGAGTTGATGCCCCATAGGGATTTTTCGAACATTGGCAGTTGTTCCCAAGGGAAGCCAGCTGCTGCAAATGCAAATGATTGTCAGGCACCATTGCAGCATCTGGTGACTGTAAAGAACCTATCAGTTGTTGTTGGAGACTCTTCTGGGATTGGTGATGCCAATAGTGGCATCCGGAGGTGCAAGCGTAAACTTGAGTTCCTTTCTGTTTGATGCCTCGCCGTAAATATATATGTTTTGGAATATGATTTGTGATGTATATAGTAGCTAGGCAGGTAGATAAGTTTTTGTTTATCTACTATTAGTTTTTTATGATTTATTGGATTTTTTTTCTTTAAAGGATGTTGTATTGGGTACTATTATAGATGTGAGGGAATAATAATCTCACAAAAATATGTCTATACCAAGTTTTATTCATTATTACTATGTTACAGGTATATTTTTAAAGTTAAATCTCACAAAATTAGTAGTTCAAAAAAAAAAAAAATCTATTACGATTTTACAGGTATATTTTTAGAGTTAAATCTCACAAAATTAGTGGTTCAAAAAAAAAAAAAACTATTGCGGCGCTTTTTAAAACGCCACTATAATTGTTTTTTAAAATAATAAAAATGCTATTTCGACGTTTTTGAAGTACTGCTGAATGCTTGTGTGACGTCATGTGACCGTTATAAACACCGCCTATACTAATTTTACGACGTTTTTAAAACGTCATAAACTTACAGCGACGGCCGCGTCCTCGGCGTTTGGTGGTAAGCGTCACTAAAAGAATTAGCGGCGTTTTTCAGACATATAGCGGCGTTTTAAAAACGCCGCTAAAAGTCATTTTTCCAACAGTGAATTGTGCTCTGTGTTGTAGGTCCCTAGTTCTTGGATAGTCCATTTTATCCGTGGAACTTTGATTCACTTTCATCTAGTGCGAGATTTGGTATGCATAGTGTCCATTCCAAATTCGGAGCTCTCGGCGAAGCACTACATAGCAGGTACTTCTCCTTCCCCCCAAATTTTCTCTTTTACTTTCCTACTTCATTTGAATATTGTAGAAAAAGAAAAGGAAAGAAAATTTCAAAAATCCCTTGGCTCAATTTGGTTAGAATAAAAATGGTACAAAGTGAAAAAAAAAAGAAAAAAAAGAAAAAAAAAGAAGAAAGAAAAAAAAAAAAAAAAAAAACTGAAAGCTTAGTTACCATCGCTATTTATGAGTTATACAAGAAAACTCATTTTTGGTTGGTAACTTCCACCACTTCCATGCTAAACAAAATTTAATTTTTTTTTTTTTTTTGGCAAAAAAATACGAGAAAATTAAAATTTGTTATAGAAAGTACGTTAACTCATAATTAGAATTACCTATTTTTCTTGCAAACAATTTTTCGTTCTAATCAAATTCATGATGAGAAAGGATATTTTATTTCTCCTTTTCTTTTTCTTTAACTGTTACTTTTTTACCATTTTCACTTTTCCATTAATTGTTTAGTTTTTAATGAAATAGAGCCTTTAATGAAAAACTCGATGTTTCTATTTTCTGTACTTAAAAGAAAACTTTATACCATAGTAACCCTTTTCTTTTCCTTTTTTTTTCTTTCTAGCCATTTGAATCATAAAAAAAGAACAAATCATAGCATTGTGGGTCCGTGCCCCAGATAATTAGTTTTATAGTTAGATTTAACCGAAACTTAAAAGAAGGGACTTTACCATCGAGTAAGTGCAAGGATGCACCAACTTCTCAGCATTGGGGGGGTAGAATCATGACATGGAGTACAACACTCGCACCCTTCAACCAAGATGATTTAGAGTGGGATTCAGTTATTGAGTGTGATGCCTTGGAATCTAAGCCTGCACTACTTTACAGCCGTTATTATCAGTTCCAGTGCTTCTTCTCATCTCACTTTTAGATTTAGTTTTTCTTTTTTTTTTTTTTCATTTTTTTCTGGATTAGTTTAGGTTTGGTTGTCACTTCTAGCTTTTTTTCTCGGGTTTGGTTTTCATTTTTTCTCTCTGTCTTTGGACATGGTATTATCTCTTCTCTGTTCATGTATTATTGGGACTTGAATTATCAGCTTTTCTTCCATGTGCATCTTGCTGTCGGATCTTTATGTTGCATATCTTGATGTCCGTGTCTTTTTCTATTTTCTCATTTTTTCCCAGATTATCAGTGTCTGCCCATTGTATCCTTGTCATTTTTTTGTTCTTGTATTTTTTCTAGCTTCTCCCGCACTCGCCTATTTTGCACTGCTTGGTTAAGTTTCCCCTGGGTATGTTATTCCGCACTTTTGCAGTCAGGACTTCTCTTATATTTTGATGGGATTCTCATCAATGTTTGGGTCTCTGTCGCCGCCCTGACTTCTCTTGAGTCACAAGGTTATCGAATTTAGCCCTATGCGCTAGCAGGTTAGGTATTGCCCTCCTTTTATTTACACTTATTGATTATTTATCTTTCTTATTCTCATTACAGTTTTCTGTTTTGTTTCTCTTTCTGCTTCCTTTTGTTTCTCATTTTTTCTTTTTTTCTGACTTCTTTCTTTTTTGCGTTTCTTTTTCTGTCTGTGTTTGCCTTCTTGTTTTTTTCCAATTTTGTTTTCTTTCTGCCATTATTATCGTATCCAGGTGGCGGGTGTGGGGTGTTCTTTGCACCACTTACGTCGAGGCCCTGTCTTTCTTGGACTCTAGGGTCTTGACCTTGGGCGTTCGTCTTCACTCGTCCACCTACAATTTCTGCTAGCAGCCTCTCTTTTTCTTTGTTTGGCACAGGTCTTTGATCTGCGCATTTTTTGACTGGTTTTCTTGCTTGCATGCTTCGCATCATAATTATGGTGCCATGGTCTCTCTATCACGCCTTGGTCCATCGTCGCGCTAGCTTCTCCGGTGCTTCTTGCCGACCCATGGCCGCCACGCCCCTACATGGTTCGGGGACTGCCGGCCCCAGTTCCCTCGTGATTACACCTCACGGCCCTCCATACCGCAACAAGACGTAACTCGTCAAGCGACAAGGGGCCACGGGCCATTTCACTTTGTCCATCAGGCCGCTGCCTTATGACTGCATCCACAACCATACCTCAAATACGTTATATAACCCAATCAAATCAGTTTCAAAAAACATACATTACGAACAGGATCATCCTAAGAAGTCACCCTAATAAACAGACTATGATATCAGCACGACATACACACCTAGGCTTGCCAGCAAGAACAAAAAATCAGGTACACAAAAAAGGGCAAGGATGGTTAATTTGCCGGAAGGCACAGGTGACTCTCCAAAACTCATGTGTCCCTGAGCAATACTTCAATGGGGCTGGGTTTGTGCTTCCCTTGGCTCACCCTAACAACACTGCAGATGTGAGCGAATAGCCAGTGAATAATATCATATGACAGTTACATAGACAAATATGTAGAACAACATGCTCCAACGGACTTGGGCCCAATTCATGAACTCTCTAATTAGGCAAATATATGTACTATATGAAATGCAATCAGTATGTAGTTCCAACATTCGTGGCCTTTGGCCTTTGGTTTCCTTCATGGCAAGAAACGGCCTCGGCATTCACTTTATGTCAAAACGGCCTCGGCCATGTCATTTGTTCAAAATGGTTTCGGCCATTCATTTATGTTTCAAAACGGCCGTTGTGGCCCACGTCGTTATGTCAAACCGGCTTCAGCCTATCATTCAATGGTCGATGAACGGCCTTCGGCCTCACTCACACATGTGTGCAAAACGACTTTATGGTCCATTCATTTACATCAGGATGACTTTGGTCATTCGTTTATATCAGGAGACTGTTTGGGGTCACTTTCTTCACTCAAAACGACCTTGACGGTCCATTTCATTTGATATCAAACGACTTTGGTCAATTCATTCATTCTGTCAGAACGA